GGTATTTTGGGACAATGTCAGAGTGAGAATTTCCATGCACGCGCCGGGGCAGAAGTGACTAACACTGGTGTCATGCTTGCAGAGGGAGGGAGAGCGAAGTGAGTCAGGAGATGGCAAGGCTCCCTGTTCGGGAGAGGTCTGTCCTGGTTCGGCAGGTCAGCAGAGAAGCAAGTACTGACGCTTGGAAAAAAAATAGGAGTAGGGAAAATAATTATCCTGGAGGTGGGACGTAATGCCTATTGGGAGGAGCAGATAGCGTGAAGGAAAACCTACAAGAGCAGAATACTTGCCTTTTCTACACCATCCTGGCTGTCCCCGTTGGTAATCAGGTAGGTGTAACCGTGTTAAAGCCTGTCTGGAAGGCGAGAAACCACTCCAGAAAGGAAAAGCGCTTCAGCAGCTTTTATTTCCAGACACAAGTGGATTTTTTCATTAACCACAGGTGCTGCTAATCCTTTGCACTAAATTTGCTTAACATATATATATATATTTTTGTGGCTAAATGTGACACTGTATATAGTATTTTGGTGGGAATTGCAGTGTGCTGTGGGGTCAGAGCAGTCCTGGTACAGGCACTTCTTGGACTGGGATAGTAGAAGAGATGATAACTGGCAATGGGGAGTCAGTCCTGTGTTAAGCACCAACATAAAACACCACCTTTAACGCTGTTAAATGGATAACGTTATACCAAGTTTGCAGAAGCTTTTGAAATGCGTGTGGCCTAAGTGGCAGAGCACAGGTTGCTGCTGGCTTCTGGCTGCTGTAGGCAGGGCGGCATCGGTGGGCTCTGCGCTGTGTGGCTCTGGGGCTCCTGTCAGCTGCGCCCCTTGTTTGCTGCTGCAAGGGAAACAAGGGAAAACCCAAACCACTACAGATACATGTTATAGATATGCTATTCAGTGTGACCTGGACAGGTTGGACAGGTTGGAGAGTTGGGCAGAGAGGAACCTGATGAGGTTCAACAAGGGCAAGTGCAGGGGCCTGCACCGGGGGAGGAACAACCTCATGCATCAGTACAGGCTGGGGGTGGACCTGCTGGAGAGCAGCTCTGTGGAGAGGGACCTGGGTGTCCTGGTGGACGACA